TACATGTCTGTTACATATGTGTGACACTTATGTGTCTGTTATATATTTATGTGTATATATGATAAATATTGCATTTATGTGACATACATGTAAAGATTCTGACGTGATTGCACATACATGTGACATTTATGGGACGTGTGACATACAGTATATGTTGGATATGTAATTATGTGGGGGATTTATGTGACTTATATGAAGTTTTGGAAGGGTTCACAGCCAGCTGGTTGCAATTTCACATTCTACTCACATGATGTGTATTTTTAGTTTTCTATGTAATGGAAGGTGCATATGCATATGATTTATGGCCATTATCTTCAAAATTTTCTTTCCAGAAGTAAATAAATGCTACTTATATACCGAAATAAATCGATTTCTGCAGTTGTCTTAAACCTTGATTCAATGGACAGTATAATATTCTGGAGGCTAATTATTGTGTCCCGGCAAAGAGATTGTAAATTCAATTGTCATTCGTTAGTATTGCATAAACATCCTCACTGTGTATAACTTCACATGTGACTATGGTGCATGCTTCGTAAAAATGGTGCCTTTTTTTCTCAATCGGAGCTCACCAGAAAATTAAAATTAAATTTTCATTTTCTTGCAAATGAGCTTAAAGACCTCCTGTGTACCATTATTTCTCTTTCTTGGAATTGGGAAATTATTTTCTTTCTGTCAAACAATTATAAACCAATTCTTAGTGCAGGGAAAGGAACATTTCAGAAATACCAATTTAACAAATATATGATATATATATCTAGAAGGTATTGCTGCTCATAAAAGAGCATGGTACCTCCCTTTTTTATTTCAAATTGTACTTTTCCTTCAGATCAGCAACCAACATGTACAGCTCGACAACAATCTTAGTGTATGTTCTATGGAATGGCTTCAAGTGTTCAAAGTATCTTATCAATTGCTCTGTATTGTTTCTTTTACAGAAGCTGATTGGCATCGTTACAAGTTAGAATGGAAGCAAGCACTCGCAGGAACACTCATGGTGATCCACCAAAGATCAGTGTTAATCTTCCAAAGTTAAGTGAGCTTACCCAGTCGAAAAAACGTTGGAGGGAGGTTCAACTCCCAATTGACATTCTGTTGTTAACAGTGAAAGACGTTGAGTTTTTAAGTTGCTACTATTACATTAATGATCTAACCAAAAGCTATCTGAAAGGGCTTGGTTTAGTATACTTTGGCAGCATTGGTGAAGATAAAGATGTCAAACTGAAAGTTGCTTTGATGAAATGCTCAGAGGGTTCTAACGTTCCTGGTGGTGCTTTGATCGTTGTAAAAAATGCTGTCACTCAGCTGAGGCCAAAAGCTGTCTTTTCTGTAGGCCACTGTAGTGGCATGAATCAGGAATCAACAAAGCTGGGGGATGTGGTTGTATCAAAAAAGCTCACAACTTATTCCTATCAGAAGGTTGCAAAGGATGGCAAGAAATTTCGTGGGTTCATAACTCCTGTAAGCAGAGACATCGCTGAACTCATCGAATGTGCAGGTCATGGTTGGAATCCACCCCTAGAAAATCCTAAAGAAAGGAAGGTTGAAGTCCACTGTGGTGAGGTTTTGAGTGGTTCAGAGCTCGTACAAGCTGAGTGGCGACGAGATGAACTAGTGAAGTCATTTCCTGAAGCAATTGCAATTGAGACAGAAGGAGAGGGTAAGGTCTCCTTTTCCTTTTAAGTAACTGTTACTTTAAAATCTGCTCAAAGAGATATTTGGGTATATTTGAATCTAGGGAGAGAGAATTGATACCTATATGATATCAGTTGTGTTGGGTAAACTTTTCTGCCAGTGTCGAGAGATGCACTGGCTGTGTGTGAACATACTGGACTTCAGATCAAGAGGTCTGGGTTTAAGCCCTGGGCTAATGGGATTGTGTTGTAGTCTTGGCTGGGAGGCTTTACTCTCACAGTGTGTCTCTACACCCAGGAGTATAGATGGCTACTGATGAACTGTCCACTATTTCATATACATGTGGAGGGAGTAAGGGTACAGTCTTAGTGTCTGAATGGTATGAGCCTTGGGAGAAGCTCGTGCTACAGGGACTAGCTTGGTATTTAGTATACATAACTTTCCAAAATATATCTCTAGTTCCTTACAAATTTTTGATAACAATGGTAACATGATAACAATGGTTAAAATCAGTAGATGTTGGAGAAAATTTGTTGTTTTATTCTTAAAAGCTTGTTTTTTTTTGTCTCAGGAGTTTTCAGCGCAGCACGTGATCTGAAAATGGAATGGGTCGTTATCAGGGGTATTTCAGGGTATGCAGATGGAACTGAAGCAAACGAAAACTGGCAAACATTTGCAAGTGTAACAGCAGCTT